GATTCCCTGCGTTTCCAGCTCTTATCTGTACCAGTGTACCTCCTCTGGTCTAGCTGGAATTGTAAGGTAGAACTGGGATCATGATAGTGGGGGGAGGCAAGGGAGGAAGCATTAAAGAACTAGATGAAAGTTGTATGTTTCATCAGCGCTAATACTGCACCCTGACTGGCTCATCTCCTCCCTGTGACCCTTCTGTAAGGGGCTGTCCACTTGCCTACAGATGGGCTTTGGGCCTCCACCCCACACAGCCTCTCATTCACAAGGATATGAAGGACTAACTTTTCATCCCACTGAATAAGCTTGCCTTTTTTAATGGGTGGGGCGAGGGACCTACCTGTACAGACAACAAAAAAACTGGCTACTTTCTCTTCTGGGCTCTACCCACTATATTCCAGGGCATGTGCCTTTTAAATGAGGGCAGGGTTGGTCAAGCTATTAGTGTGTCCTCTTTAAAGGGACACGATCCTTCTTTTTCAAAGCCTGTTTTCAGGCAACTGTCCAATGCTAAGGCTCATGCGTTGGAGATCATGTCTAAATAATTTTAGTTTCTTCAGTATAAAACATGAATTGCAAAAGTAAGTATATGGTAATAACTTGAAGTTCTGTCTCTGGGAAATAATTTAAGAAATTTTCAACTACTTCTGAAGTAAATAAAACTTTTTGATCATTTTTCAGTCCTTCCCAAAGGGTAAAAATTAGCAGATTTTTAAAAGATGAAAATATAAGCAAGGGTGTCCCTGAGAGGGCAGTGTCTATTTAACCTGCAAGATGTATTCCCTTATCAGGTGGTAAGCAGGAGAAGAGAAAGGATTCCCTTGGCAGATAAGGACTGCAGGGAGAGAGGAAGAAAACATTTCCCAGAATGCTTTCCTTCTTCTCTCAGAGGTCATCATTTACATCATATGCTTTGTTTTGTCTCCAAAGCAAAGATGTCCCAGAGGTCTTTCCCTATTGAAAAACAACAGTTGGTTTTTGTGCTACCCTAATTGAACATATGCTATAACAGGGGCAGTTACAAACTAGTTTTGCTCCCAAAATTCTGATTGGCTGGAAATTTTCAATGAATGTAAAAATTTCAATAGAGAAATACTGTAATACCCAAATTCCTTGGCCAGCCTACAAAAGTATTTTTCAAAGCTTAATGGGTACCAGAGCCACACAAAGTACATTGTGGGACCGCTTGGTACAAGCAAGAAGAGAAGCGTTCTCCCATCGTGTGGGTGCAGGGCTCTACTTTATCAAAGGTTGGAAGTCAGTAATACTTGATTCAAACCTGTGGACACCAAGGTTGCCAGCCAGATCAAAGTTCTGACAAGTGACTGCTCACATCCCTCTGAATGGTCTGTATTAGTCGGCAAGGCACATGGAACTCCAAGAACGGGAAAGGCTTAAACTCTCAACTGCACTTGGAAGATGGAAAGAGGATGTAAAGAACTTTTCCCCAAGGAATGTGACAGCACATCACTGGGCCAACTAATGACATCCGTTCCCAGCCGTCAGCTTCAAAATCGGGTCCATTTTGCTCTCACATTTAGGTCAGTGATAGACCACACTGTGAATGGCAAAATACAGAAAGAAATAGCCATGAAAGAAAGAAAATTAATAAATTGCACACCATAAAAAGATCTCATCAAGAGACATTAAAAAGAAAATGAAAAGTCTAGCCACAGACTCAGAAATAATTGAAAATATATGTGTCTGGAAGTGGTAATGCACCCAAAATACATAAGAAATTCTCAAAATTTAATAACAGAAAGCAAACAATCCCACTTTTACAAAAGCTCTTCTTTTTAAAAAGCTCTTAAATAGAGAGGTCTAAGGGGCTGGCCTCAATCCCAACTATGTGGACAGTCCCCACTCTCCACAGAAGAATTCACTTCAGTTGACAGCACTGAAGCTACAGCTCAGGGAGAGGGACATATCTGATCAGAGCACACAGGAGCAAATGTAGGGAGAGGAAGAGAGAGTGGAGCACATCCTGGCCCACCAAGCCCTGAGGATGATATACCTGCTCAGAACAGACAAATCACAGAGAGGACCCTAAGGCTGGCCCCACTAGGAGACATGACATCCCTCACTGACCCATAGCACTACTGGGGACAACACTGGGGACACAGTGAGGGAATTGTGCCCGATCTGACCCCACCACACTGAGGCAAAATACTAAGGGTGTGCAACAGAACAGCAAGGGGAATAGAGCAATGAAGTCCTTAGGGAATACCAAAAACAGACTGTGGGGCCAGGGCATGGCACCCCATCAGACTCAACCAGAAAACATTCCTAAAGGTCAACAAACAGACCTTGAACTATTTGCAGGCTTTTTTGGTCATTGTTTTGTTTTCTTTTGTTGGTTTGTTTTGCTCTGTCTTGTTTTTTGTGTGCATATTATTATCTCTGCAGGTCTATCTAGATAAGATAGGCCAGATAAACAATCTGGAGGAGAAAACAATGGGACCGACAGTTCCGGGGGACATGGGAGAGGGAGAGGTGGGGGAGGGAACAACAAGTGTTCCAAAATCAATGGTCAGGGGGCTGTAGGAGGTTTGGTAAGGCTTGATCAAGGACAATGTAACCAAGAGGAATTACTGAAACCTAAATGAAGGCTGAACATGATAGTGGGACAAGAGGAAAGTAAAAGGAAATAGAGGAAGGAACTAGGAGGCAAAGAGCATTTAGAGAAGTCTAAATACAGGCATGTACATATGTAAATATATCTGTATATGACAATGGGGAAATAGATCTATGTGCATATATTTATAGGTTTAGTATTAAGGTAGCAGATGGACATTGGGCCTCCACTCAAGTACTCTCTCAATGCAAGAATACTTTGTTCTATTAAACTGGCATTCCATGATGCTCACTTTCCCGACAGGATTGCTGAAGACAAAGCCGGTGCGTGAGCAAATGTGGTGAAGAAAGTTGATGGTTCCCGGCTATCAAATGATATAGTGTTTGGGGTCTTAAAGGCTTGAAGATAAACAAGCACTCATCTAGCTCAGAAGCAACAAAGTCCACATGGAAGAAGCACACCAACCTGTGTGATCATGAGGTGTCGAAGGGATCAGATATTAGGCACCAAAGAACGAAAAAATCATATCATTGTGAATGAAGGGGAGTGTGGAGTGGAGACCCAAAGCCCATCTGTAGGCAAGTGGACAGCCCCTTACAGAAGGGTGGCGGGGCAGAGATGAGCCATTCAGGGTGCAGTACAGCACTGATGAAACATACAAATTTCCTCTAGTTCTTTAATGCTTCCTCTCTCCCCACCATCATGATCCCAATTCTACCTTAAAAATCCAGCTAGACCAGAGGAGGTACACTGGTACAGGTAAGAGCTGGAAACACAGGGAATCCAGAACAGATAAACCCCTCAGGAATAATAATGAGAGTAGAGATACCAGGAAGGGAAGGGGAAGGTGGGGGAGAAAGGGGGAACTGATCATAATGATCTACATATAACCTCTCCCTGGGGGACAGACAACAGAATGTGGGTGAAGGGAGACATTGGACAGTGTAAGTCCTGAAAAAATAATAATTTATAAATGATCAAGGGTTCATGAGGGAGGGAGGGTAGGGAAAGGAGGGGGGAAATGAGGAGCTGATACCAAGGGCTCAAGTAGAAAGCAAATATTTTGAGAATGATGATGGCAACAAATGTACAAATGTGCTTGACACAATCGATGGATGTATGGATTGTGATAAGAGTTGTACGAGCCCCAATAAAAAGGTTTTAAAAAAAACCTCTTCTGTTTTCCTGTTGTGTTAAATGATCTCCCTATTCTTACAAAACTTTAATGAGGTCATTGAATGTCAATTTATCTTTTTCAAATAATACAGTTTTACAGTTCAAAATGAAGAAATGGAGTGAATACTCTTAATATTAGAGATTCTCTAGGGACTCAAATACATAGCAACCCCTCTGTTCTGAAATGCTTTGCGGGGCTCCGGTGGGGGTAGAGATGTGTTTGACTTCTGTTATGTAATGTCTGATGACCATGAGGATGTTATAGTAATGAGAAAATTAGCCCAGTCTCTGTAAGAATTGCTATTTTACCAAACTTGATCAAAGGAAATATAGTAGTTGAAAATGCATTTATTATTTTTGCCTTCCATCTGTTTTTCTAAAAAATTTATTTGTAAGGTTTATTAACAATCATAGCTTTTTGGGGACATCTATTAAAACACTCAACTCAATTTATTATTACCTATTTATGTGTTTATTTTTTCCACTAACTAGGGAATACTCAAGGGCAAGAGTTGTATCTTATTCAACTTTGTCCTTTAACTTTTTAACAACTCCCTAGCAAATCATGAATGCTTAATAAAAGCTTCCTAATGAAAGATTAAAGTAAGAAGCGAGTGAATGAATCAACTTCTTCCAAAATTTGAGCCCAGTTTGATAACAAGTCTTTACAAAATAAATATAGCTTCTAATTAGCAAGTCTGGATTGGTTGTTAAGGTAACAAGGTAAACTATACAGTGAAGATGATATAATTAGTTTGACTGCATACTTACTATTATTTAATTAAATGTTTCAGATAATGCCTGAGACAATCTTGATAGAGTTGCTACTATAACATTTAGGACTATTTTCAGACTCTGGCATTTGCATCATTGTAATAAATGGCCATTTATTTACACATTTGACCGGGGTTGGGGGAGGAACAATTTTAAATCCATAGTTAAAATTTTCCACTTGGAAAAGGGTGACTATCATCTGGTTTTGTGTTGACTTTATATAGACGTAATATAATCAAGTTAGAGCAGAAAATGCATACAATCAAGGGGTTTCAGTTTAGAGAGAGAAATGCCTGGAGTCAGGTAGAAATGTGTCACTAAAAATTCTTACATTGACTATTAAGTGGGTCTAAGGAAGAACTACCTGTGTTCCATGACCTGACATCATTCTTAAAAATCAATCATAATAATGCCTCTGGTAATTGTTGTTGGCTTGTTTTAATTCAGTGCCAGTGTCTAATTATGTCAATATTCTTCACAGGATTTCCAGTGCCAAGCTTAATAACTTCTCTCGATTGGAGCCCACCCTTCGTCTTCTGGGTGTGCAGTTCGATCAGAATGTGGCGCAAGGCATCATGGCCGAGAAGCCCGGGGCCGCCACCAAGCTTCTGTATCAGCTGTACGTTGCCCTGCAGAAGAAGAAGAAAAGCGGCATGACTGGGTCAGAAATGCAAACCATGCAGCCTCTGATGAATGCCAAACTTCAGAACATCAAAACGGAGGCCTTCCGAGAGGTGGGTGCACAAGAACACAATGGAAGACCGGTGTCTCATCTAGACTGACGGTCAAGGTCCTTCATCAAATTATCGCCATCTGTTGTACCAACCTTTGCTCCCTCTTAGTCTTTAACAGAAACTCTTTCTTTTTAACATTGTCCTTGCACATGACTTGTATATTTATTCATTTTCTCTTCTCTCATCCAAACCCATCCATCTCATCTCTTTTCTTTGCCAAAACATTTCTCCTCCATCCAGTGCTGTTAAGCCTTTCCAATATCCATGACCGCTTCCTTTGACACTCCTTGGGCACAGGTCGTACTGTTAAACCTGGGGTCCTGATGCTGTCTGCTAACTGTTCATTATTTATTTGACTCAGGGATTCAGAAAAATCAGGTACCCCCAATTTAAGTAATATGCTTAGGACAAAGCTTTGATCATTGCAAATATTCATTAACTGCATTTTGGTTAACTGATACTTTGTAGTTGATGATTTTCTCTATTTCTTATGCTACCTCCTTATGGCAAGCAAAATACTTGGACTCTTCCAGGCTTCTGAGGTAATGCTGAATGGTACACTTATTAAAAAAAAAAAAAGACAAAGACAACTAAACTCTTTGCTTTGAAGTCAACTCTGATCCACAGCAACCTTATAGGACAGAGTAGAATTGTTCCATAGGGTTTGCAAGGCTGCATCTGGGATGAACTGCACTGATACAGAACACTGAATAAAATGGAAGGTCATTAAAGTGTTTAACTCCATTTTCAGGTCTGTCTGCTATGGCCTGGTGGCAGAATGCTATTGCCTGGTGGCAGAATGCTATTGCCTGGTGGCTCTCTTTAGAGAGCTGGAGATCATGGTTAGTAGGTGCCATTGAGTTGGCTCCTGCTCACAGCTACCCCATGTACAACAGAACAGAGCACCGAACAGATGGCCCAGGCCTGCGCCATCCTCCCACTTGTTCTGACGTCTGAGCCTGATGCTGTGGCCATATGTCAGTCCATCTTCGAGGCCCTTCCTCTTTTTCACTGACCCTCTACTGCCCCAAGCATGACGTCCTTCTCCAGGGCCTGGTCTCTGCTGACAACATGGTCAAAGTACGAGAGACGAAGTCTCACCATCCTTGCTTCTAGCTCTGAAGCATTCTGACTGTACTTCTTCAAAGACAGATTTATTTGTTCTTTTAGTCGCCCACGATACTGTCAATATTCTATGCCAGTACCATAATTCAAATACAGTGATTGTTCTTCAGGCTTCCTAATTAAATGTCCACCTTTCATATGCCTATCAGGTGGCTAAACATACCATAGTGTGGCTCATGTACACATTAGACTTCAAATTAACCTCCCTGCTTTTCACGCTAAGTATGTCTTTAGACATTGGATTAGGGTGCAAGCCACTCAATTTAGGACTGTATTCAACAGCCATCACTCAAAAGCTGATTATCTTTGAACAGTCACTAGAAAAACGGTTGCCTCATTTTTTTCCTGAACTATAAAAATTAATGTAATTATTGTGACCTGCTTCCAAGTTGGGCCTTGTGTAGCTTCGTTAAGAAAGCATGTGAGAAAATGCTTCATAAAATAGAAAGCATCTGGCAGGGGCAAGTGCTACAAGATAGTTGGGTTTACTGTGGGTCATGTGCAACCTCTCAGGGGCAATTATTCATTCATTGACCAAATATGTATTGAGCTACTTCTTTATGATAGCACCTCCTGGGCATCCCAGGAAAAGAAAGTCTCAACGCTCTTTGTTGTTGCTAATGGCCGTCAAGTTGACTCTGACTCACGGTGACCCTATGGTTGTAGAGTAGAATGAATGGCTCCATAGAGTTTTCAAAGCTGTGGCCTTTTGGAAGCAGCTCGCCAGGCCTGTCTTCCAAGCACCTGTAGATGGATTTGAAACATCAGCCTTTCAGCTGTTAGCTGTGTGCTTAATCATTTGTGTCTCCCAGGGAACCCCAACCATCTTAACGGTTACATTTCTGAGAGAGCAACATGCTTTAGGAGAGTTGTATGAACAAAAGCCAGATGGCCATGAGGTGGAGAGCCAACGTGAGATGAGAAAGAGGGAAGCATAAATTATTCTTTCCAAAAATGTGGATATCAGGGAGGATCAAAAATAAGAACAGAACCGGGAAGGGGAGAAACTCAAAGGTAGCAAGAGGTTATTGATTTGTTTGTTTTGGGGGGCAACTTGCTGGTTGAGTCCAAGAATCAGTGGCCAGGGGAATGAAAGATGGTTGAGAGGAAGACATTTTGGCTGGAGATATTCTGAGGAAGGAAAGAGGAAGATAGAATCAGTGGTTCATATTTTAAAAATGGATATGGCTTATTCTTTGATACCAAATGGGGTAGATACAAGTGTTTATTAGACGGTAACATTAACAATGGCTAAAATGTATTGAAAGCACAGTCACGTAACAAAGCCCTGTTCCAAGTACATGTGTATTATCTCACTTGATCTTCACAAAGGGGTCCTAGTTGAGTTGTGGTTATGAGTTGAGCTGCTAACAGCAAGGTTAGCAGTTTGAAACCACCAGCTGCTCTGTGGGAGATAGACGAGGCTCTCTCCTTCCATACAGAGTCACAGTCTTGGAAATCATCAGGGGCCTGTTCTACAGAGTTGCTATGAGTTGGAATCAACTCGATGGGAGTGAGTTGTTCTTCACAACAGCCCAAGGGGATAAGTGCTATCATTATTCCCTTTTTGTAGAAGATGAACTGAGGCACAGAAGGGTTAGGTAACTTGTTCAAGTTCAGGCAGCTAAGGTAGGGCTGAAAGTACAACCTAGACCTCTGACTCTAAAAGTCAAGCACTTCACCATTAGGCTATGTGATGTCTTGATAAGCATGTTTAAGATGTTAGGAGAATTCATATCTCCAATGCCTCTGTTAAGAGGGAGGCCAGGCCATTTTCCCAGTGACAGTAGTGGGTGAGCGTGTGAGGATTTAAGGCTCTAAGTTCCCTGCTAGCAAGTCAAGTCTGACTCCTCATGGTCCTATAGCGGCGGTTCTCAACCTGTGGGTTGTGACCCCTTTGAGAGTGGAATGACCCTTTCTCAGGGGTCGCCCAATTCATGACAGTAGCAAAATTACAATTATGAAGTAGCAGCAAAAATAATTTTATGGTTGGGGGGTCACCACAACATGAGGAACTGTTATTAAAGGGTCGAGGCTTAAGGAAGGTTGAGAAGCACTGTCCTATAGGATAGAGTAGAAGTGCCCCTTTGGGTTTCCAAGGCTACCCTATACATCTTCACTGGCACAGAAATCCCACCTTTCTTTCACGCAGCAGCTTGTGGGTTTGAGCAGCCAGCCTTGTGGTTAGCAGCCCAACCCCCAATCCACCATGGCCCCAGAGCTCCTCAAAGATAGCTCTTTTGAGTAAGTGACCATATATACTGAAGAAATTCTAGAAGAGCCAAAAATGCTTTATTTGTACAATGGAACTTTGGTTTTTCAGTGAATCTTTAAACTTGCAAGGAGATGACTTTTGGATAGAAGAGCTTTAGGGAAATGTACTAGCTGTGTGATTCCATCGTCCTCTTGATCCATTTTGAGAGTTCATTGTGCCATCCTGCTTTCCTTTCCAGGAGCCTGAACGTTTTCATGGTTTTTCTCTTTTTGCTAAGGAGTATCCTAAGTAACTGGAAAAATCTAACTTCTCATAGTCTATGTGGTGAAGCTGGTTTTTAAAAATTATTTTTATGAGAATGTATGCCTAAGAATACAAATACCATACTCTGAAAATTAAACTCAACGTAAAAAAAAATAACTATAAAAGTGTGTCTGAGACTACTTTATAATGAGGAAAGTGAATCTTGTTTGGCTTCCCATTAAAGATATGAGTCACGGGTGTGGGGCTTCAGTGTATTGTAACCATCAACAATGTAATTCATAGAGCTTCTCCTGAGAAGCCAGACATGTGTGTTTATCATGACAGTATGTGCTGCATTCTTTAATACGAGAATCTCTTGAAATGCTTTTTTCATTTAGAGACTTAGAAACCTGATACCACGTGAAACTGATTTCAGTCTGTTGCGGCTCACACAAAGGTTTCAAGAAAAGTGTAAACTCCTGGAGGAAGAATCTGTCCGTTTGCAATTCGAGAAACATGAACAATGTCAAAAACTTAAGGAAGAACAAAGATGTTTAAATCTCGAAAAGGTTTCATAGAACAATTTCTCTAAAAGTTCATTAATGCAGACTATCCTGTTAGCAGTGTATGCCTATAGTACACATCGCATAAGCCTGGGTGATGTAGCACAAGTCAAGTTGTTCTGATGCATGACCTCCAGCCTGCTCTATCTCTTACTCCCTTTTCTGTCCTCTACTGCCCTTCATCGGAGTGGGGGATGCCTTGGTAGAACTGTTGCTTTAGTACTAGGGTGTTTGCTATTAGCTACTCAAGACCTTGAGTCGCTGTGGAGGTGACCCTCTCCTGGCCCAGCTTTGCCTCTCCTTGGCCTCGCTCTTTGCTGTTTCCCACCTGCAGGCAATGCTGAGTCACTCTTTGCTTACTTCCTTTCAACCTCAGATGTCCCCTTGACCCTTGCTTCTCATGCTGACCAACTCCCAGCCACTTCTCAAATTCCTTCAAAGATCTCTAGTGATCTTGTATGCCTTTAAGGACTTGATATAATGGAATCATATAGATTATTAAAGACTTTTAAGAGAATTTCAGGTGACTGGGTATTTGGAATGTGTAAACTATAGGCGAAATAGTTAACGGTTCCCCTTGCCCTGTAAGCCATTTTACAAATTTTATTTCTTTAGAATGATAAGCATTAAAGACATGCTGAACATTATCAGCTATGTAAGACCGAAGTGGATAAAGGAGCTAACACTTGCCAGAGAGTGGACGAATGATTGGATTTCCCCCCTGGCATAACCTGGCTAGGGGGCAAATCCCCCTGAAAGTATTGTTGAGACCAAGTGTTGGTATGCTTAATTCATATGGAACCAGCCTGTCTGACTGAAACTCCAAGTCTAATGCAGGAAGTCTCTATAAGACAGGCCATATGAGACCATTAAATATTCAAAAATGAACTATGTTAAAAGTGATTATAGGAATCAAATAGCGCGCAAGGCTGAGCATTCTGTGTTTCCATTTTATTGAGAAAAGAAAATGGCATTGCGGTGAGAGAAAAAATAGCATTATGGAAAGTGAAGCCATCATAAAAATAAAGCCATCAACTGTGGGCATGCTAGACAGAATTTTACCTTTCTACATTTTGAAACCCTAATTTCTGTCTTTTTAATGGCACATAGGAGTGTCTTATGTTTGGGTGTAGCAATGATGGCCTTTTCAGTTTTTATTAATATAATGCTTTAGTGGTAAAATCATTATTAGTTTCTAGTATATAAATTTTCAAAATATGTATCTAATTATGATAGTGTCTTTCATTTGAGACCGCCTGCTTATGTTCTTCTTAAAAGTTATTTCTACAGTCAGGAGAAATGAGCCTATAAGAATCACAATATCATAGACTTCAGTATTATCGGAATGCTTGAAGTCATTCCTGAACTGATATATTAAGAGAGTTTCTTGGGCTCACCGGAAGCCTGCCTAGAGACCATCTCCTGGACCTATTATTCTCTTAGACTTAAATGATTCCCAAGATTGGAGAGATCAGAGGCTGAGACTGAGAAAGAATTGGACCTTTCTGTATTTGAAACACCCTTAGTATCTTTATAGTATTGTCACCCAGAATGGCATTGAATAAGGATTTGGGAATTCCCAAATCCTGTTTTCATATCTTATTGTTCAAAATGAGTCATAGCATTTCCATGTTGTGACAGCCTGGCACCAGTAGATACTTTTAATTCCAGGAGAAACATTTAAAGTGTATATACCTGTGAGTGTGTAGCATTGCCAATTATGATGATTAACCAAATTACTAACTGTCTATGGGGTATTTAGCAACGCTTGGGCAGAAGACGTCAAAATGAAATAATGGCCAAAATACAAGCAGCTATCATACAGATTCCTAAACCTGCATCCAATCGGACTTTGAAAGCACTTGAGGCCCAAAAAATGATGAAAAAGAAGAAAGAGGCCGAGGTAAGTGCTCATCCTTCTCATTGCGATTGCTTTGTCTTCGTGGAAGAATGGCCTTTCCCTCAAACACACAGAGAGACCTTCAAATTATTTCTGGCCTTGTCCCCTGTCCTTGAAAACATTCCCACTTTATGCATATCTACTCCATTTTGCAACCTTGTTTGTTCAGAATTAGAGAATATTGGATCTGGGTCAAGGATGCCTAAATCCTGTGATATGCACTCCCTGTCTGGCCTTCAGTGCCAAGGAGGATTCTGAGGCTACTACCCAAGTCAGCCGGAGTGGGTGTTGTTGTCGATGGGTCCTAACTGCCCCGTGTACATCCGAAGCCATTCATGTGACGTACATCGTCTCTGCCTTAAACTTCCATCCATCTGTCCTCATCACACCCCACTCTTTGTCTGTGAACTCCAGATACACCGAGTGACTTGTTTGCTATCAGTGTGTTTCAATGTAAGACAGCCACACTAGTAATATGCTCTACTAGGTCCTATCAACTTATCCCCACCACAGACTAATCTGATTCTCTTTCATAGGGGCGCTATCCTGCATTTTGAAATGAATCACCAAACTCTATACTGCATAATCAGTATTGTATTCTCGTGTGATGTATTCTCGTGTGACCAAGAAAAATGATTGTAGCTCCCTTATGCCACACTCCGCATTGTGCCTGTCACATTACCTAACCTGAAAACAACTCTCTAGGTCAGGGTTGCTTTCCTATTTTATAGCTAAGGAAATGGAGACCAGAAGGTGACAGTGTTAATAAAGTTGAGTGGGGGGGGGGCTCTTTTGCTCAATTTATTGCATTTTATATCAGTCTATCTTCCTTAGGTTTATTAATAATAACAAAATACCTTATACACTGGTTCCTAAAAAGTAGCACACACAGAGGCACCTCTCTGATACCCTTCACTAAGACACAATCATGTTTTGGGGGGTTGATTTACATTTAGGAATAAGGACTTGCAATAGTCATTGTTGGGCTAAATTAACTTTCATAGGATAAACAAATCATGTAAATAAGGTTGCACAAAGTATAGTTAGAACACCTGAGGGAAAAAAGCTTTAAAGAATCTTAGTTCATACACAAGATTTATGTAAGTTTAAAATATTATAATTAAAACTATATATCCTGTCTCTTAAAAATGCTCATTCTTATTAAGTGACCTTTGGGGCAGCATCTGACTCCTGAAATAAGTGACTTAATTGAGACAATTTCCATATGTTTAAAGTTATTTTTAGCCTTGTCAAAAAGTAACCAACATGAATTATAAAAATTATCTAGTATGTGGGGCTTTTCATATTCTGCCTTCTAATTGGCTAGAATGAATAATGCATGTCACTGTATAAACTTGAATACATGTAGTAGAAGATTTTCAGTGGTTTTTAGACCAAAGAACTGATGATGAATTTTCTTTAAAGGATGTAGCCAATGAGATTAAGAAGTTTGAAGCATTAATAAAAAAGGATCTCCAGGCAAAAGAAAGGTGGGATATGAACTATTTTATTAATCACAAAAGGCCATTATCTTTTATACATCACTTGTGAATATTTAGAGATAGTTTCTCTGGAATCTTTTCACTTTGCAGAGTCTTCAATAAGAGGGTAGATGAGGGAAGAGAAATGAGTTGAACTTCAGATGAATTGTCTATTAGTGACTTCTGTACAGACTAAAAGGAAAATTGGCTATTAGAAGGTGTGTTGTTTTTCTATGCTATGCTTACTTAAGTTCAAACATTTTTGGCGATATTTGCTAAAATCATTTCAAACTCTTGTTATTTTAAGTTTGACCCTGTACTTCTTAGACTTGGGTTTTTAGCCTCAAACCAAATCCACTGCCACCCGGTCCATTCCAACTCATGTTGTTGCTGTTAGGTGCCGTTGAGTCGGTCCCGGCTCCTGGTGATCCTCTTACCGCAGCACTGGGTCCTGTGCCATCCTCACCACCGTTCTGTTTGAGCGCATGGATGCATCAACTGTGGGAATCCATTCTTGCCCAAGGTCTTCCTCATTTTCATTGCCAAGCTGCTTTACCAAGTCTGACGTCCATCTTCAAGGACTGGTTCTGACCCATAGTCAAACCCTATTCAGGGTTTCCGAGGCTTTGGATCTTGATGGGAGCAGACAGGCCATCTTTCTCCAGGGGGTAGCTGGTGGGTTTGAACCACTGACCTCGAGGTTAGTAGTCCTAGGCTTACCTGACAGCTTCGCCAGGGCCCTTTAGGTTTTAGCACAGGAACTCACAATTCAGAGTGGTTAGATGTCTTCATTAACCAAGTGTCACCAAGAAAATTCAATGATGTATTGGTAAAAAAGCTTTTGGTTAATAGATTTCATTTACCTAAAGATAAAGATCCCCATCCCCCCCCCCTTTTTTTCAGTCAAGGAGTCTCTGATCACAGAAATTAATTAGCAGTGAGTTTTGAGTGTTGCTTTTGTTTTTTGATTTTTTTCTTGTTGTTAATCAAGAAGCATTGTACATGTTCAAGCAACTTGAGTTTTTCTGCCTTTTTAAATGAAAAGTATCTAAAATTACTCATTTATTCTTTGTGGAATATAAAATAAATCTCCGTTACGTAAGAAAAACAGATTTTGTACTTTAGTTATTTAGATATTAATATCTATGAGGGAAGAGAGGCATAAGAAAATGCCAACAAAGATGAAATCATGAGGAAGTCTGACATGGAACGAAAATCAACCAGGATGGAGGAAACTTATGTATGAAGAATCTTCCTCCTACCCTCTGCAGAGAACTCTGGTGGCCCCCTGTAATCTCTACTTAGATACATCACTGTGTCCCTGTCCTCCAAAACAACACAAGACAAGCCTACTCACCCAAACAGCTGGCATTCAAAGCCACCACACTCACCGTGACCTTGGCCCATGAAACCACTCACCGTCTTGCAGCTCTCAGTCACTTACCAAACACCCTCTGTGTCACTATAAGGGCCATTGGGTTGCTTGAAAGGTTGAAACACTTCACTGCTTACTGATGGTTGATACTTTCTGCAGCTCTACTTTGCTTTTTTTTTTTTTTTGACACAACTTAGCAACTATAGAGTTAACATATGCAATACCATGTGATCTGTACTATTAGGATGCAGGGATTTCTTCATTAAACACAAATCTATAGGCTTCTCCAAGATTACTTCCATGCATCTGAGAATTATTGTCTATGTTTTGCTTATAAACCTTCATCATGTACCCTTATCTTTTGAATAAGACTGTAAGTTATAGTCTAAGTCATATGCCTTTAAAATGCATAACATTAAAAGCTATTGGTTGTTCTAGAATTGTATTAGTTTTTTGCAGGTAAATTGGGTAACTTGCTGGTATTTTGTGTATTGTTATATCATTTACTTTTTAAAGAGGTGTGTGTGTGAGAGAGAATTGACATTTGATCCTCACACAATAGAATATATCTCCTATTGATCAATTTTGAATGTATACATAAACTTTATAATAAATCACAATTCTCACTACATTGAATATATTTTCCTCCAGGCACCCGACCCTTTAGAAATCTGGACATAGAATAGAATAAGAGAATGCAGGGAGGTCTTCTCCCTTTGGTGTCAAAGACTTGGTGAAAGGCCAGCCCGGTGTGGCGGTGAAGGTGGCATGGTTAGCAAGGGTCCACAATCAGTGTTTGAGCTTGCCACCTGAGCTGGGCCACTGCCCTAAAAACAAAAAAAACAAAACAGAAAAGAAAGGCCACTGCCATCACGTCAGCTTCCATTTATAATGCCCCTGCAGGACAGAGCAGAGCTGCTCCCTAACATTTCTGAGGCTTTACATCTTAGGGGAGCAGGCAGGCTTGTCTTCCCCACTCTTCACTGCCCTACACAATCAAGTCCATCTGGGAGCTTGGAAAGTAGCTTGAATGTTCATGGGTCAGAGGAGAGTGGTAGAGGGTACGACCACCAAACCACTTGTCCTGCCACTCTCTAGCATATTGACATTAGTCTATTTGGTTGACACTTTTCAAGATAGATCTTGCCTAATGCTTGGGTGATCAAAAGTCTGCTTGCTGTGGTCTCAGGTAAACAGGAGAAATTGGAGAGGAATGGTGGGGGGAGGGAAAGGCAATGGACGGGGGTTCAAAGGAAAGAATCAGGAGAGGCAAAAGCCAAGAAGGCCCTAGTCCTGGAAAGGGGATGCTGAGGATGTCCCAGGGACAGAGAGACCAGAAATGCAGTGAAGCAAACTGGAGCCCCTAACCAATGCTGGGTGCCACAAGGAGGGTCCATGTAACAGATTAGCAAAACAGTCCAGGGAGCTTTCCCCTTAGATCTTCCTCCATAGTCAAAATAATTAGCCTGTTTCCACGGTTTAAAAAAAATCTAAAATGAAGATTATTGTTCTTAGTGCAACCAAGACTTCTTTAGATACAGCTGGTCAGATGACTACTGATTTGTTAAACACTTACTCGGATGATGACTACATTAAAAAAATTCAGAAGCGCCTAGAAGAAGATGCCCTTGCACGAGAGCAAAGGGAGAAAAGACGGCGGAGGTTGTTAATGGACCAATTAATAGCCCATGAAGCACAAGAGGTAAGATATTGAGGTGTTGATTAAATAGAAGTGCTGGCAATTTTGTGAAGTGTGGTCTGGTGGACATATGCACATACAGCCAATCACCGATGTGTATTGTGTATGTGTATTTGTGTATGCAAGCGTGTGTTTCTCAAGGTTCTGTTTTCATGCACATACATAAGTGTGTGTGTGCATAAATTAAATCTGATGTGTAGCTGTCCTTTATAACACACAAAACCCTGCCTCCCTCTGCAGCCGACACAGGCCAGGGCCCCACAGTGGTGGACTGACACATCCTAGGCCAACATGCTTGTTTTCCCATCCACCTTTCTCCAAGGAGAACGTGCTATTGGGCAAAGTGAGGGTTTCCTCTGATTCCCAGACACCTGCTGCCAAACCCTAGGTGATTTTCTTCTGGCCTCACTCGCCTCGCATCTGCAGAAATGGTGCCCCGCCCCTGCAATTCCCCCCAGCTTCCAAGTGGATGAAGTTTCCCCCTGGGTTTATATACCTTTAACTTTGTGGGGATTATGAAGAGAGAGCCAGAAAGCTGTGCTCAAGTACCTACCCTGCGTAGTGATTCATAAAGAAATGCCCCAACAGGAGGGAGATGATAAGATTTAAATTAGTTTAGGTTTGGGGAGGGTTGGTTTTAGATGTGGGGTGATCAGAAGGGGCTGGTATTGTCCAAGGTAGGGACAGCATCAGTCTAAATAGAGTAAAGGAGTGGGGTTTTTTTTTTCCTTTATCATTGGATAGATTATTTTATTATTTTTTAATCATTTTATTGGGGGCTGATACAACTTGTATCACAATCCATACGTACATCAATTGTGTAAAGCACATTTGTACATTCATTGCCCTCATCATTCTCAAAACATTTGCTCTCCACTTAAGCCCCT